ACACACAGTCTCACTCTGTCACCCTAAGTAGAGTGCTATGGTGTCATAGCTCAAAGCAACCTCAAACCCTTGGGCTCAAGTGATTCTCCTCAGCCTCCCAGAGAGCTGGGACTACAGCCACCTGCTACCACACCCAGCTAAGTTTTCTATTTTTAGTAGAGACAGGGTCTCACTCTTGCTCAGGCTGCTTTCAAACTCCTGAGCTCAAGCAATCTACCCCTCAGGCTCCCAGAGTGCTAGGATTATAGGTGTGAGCCACTGCACCCAGTTTACCTTTAGATTTTTGCCTCTAGGAAGTAAAAGTTAAATAATTTGATGAACATGGGGACGGAAGTGGAGGGCCAAATGAAATGGGCTGCTTTTCCTCCTCAATTGATCCTGGGCTATGTTTGCAAAATTCCTCATGGAACTTTCTAGGGTAATTGGAAATGTGCTATATCTTGAGAGGGATGGTAGTTACAGGGGCATATACATTTGTAAAACTCTTTGAACTGTACACTTAAAATTCTGCTTTATAGATAAGTTATAGCAAAAAAAAGTCCTCCATTATGCATCTCCAATCCAACAAACACTGATCACAATCTCTTTAGCTAGACAGGGCCCCATCACACAGCATCCCACACCTTGTAGTTGGAGGGAAATAATAATAAGAAGAAGAAAATATGGGAAAAACTCTTGGGGGTGTTGGACTGGGGAAAGATTTTATGACAAAGACTTCAGTGGCGGGTGGCGCCTGTGGCTCAGTGAGTAGGGCACTGGCCCCATATACTGAGGGTGGCTGGTTCGAATCCAGCACTGGCCAAACTGCAACAAAAAATAGTCGGGTGTTGTGGCGGGCACCTATAGTCCCGGTTACTCGGGAGGCTGAGGCAAGAGAATTGCCTAAGCCCAAGAGCTGGAGGTTGCTGTGAGCTCTGATGCCATGGCCGGCAACTCTTGTCTCTTAAAAAAAAAAAAAAAAAAGACTTCAGTGGCAATTGCAACAACAACAAAAAATAAATAGGACTTAATTAAGATGGAAAGCTTCTGCACAGCTAAGGATGCAACAAGTAAAGCAAAAGACAACCTTCGGACTGGGAAAAGATATTTGCAGGGTATCCATCCGACAAAGGGTTGATAACTAGAATCTACAGAGAGCTTAAATTAATCAACAAAAAAAGACCCAACAATCCCATGTATTACTGGGCAAGAGACATTGACAGAACCTCCTCTGATCAAGACAGACAAATGGGTAACAAACATCTGAAAAAATGCTCACTGTCCCTGATTGTCAGAGAAATGCAAATCAGAACCACCTTGAGATATCACCTAACTCCAGTGAGAATGGCCCACCTCATAAAGTCTCAAAGCTGCAGATGCTGGGATGGATGTGGAAAGAAAGGAACACTTACACTGCCTGTGGGACTGCAAACTCATACAGCCTCATTGGAAAGAAGTATGGAGAACCCTCAAAGAACTCAAATTAGAACTCCCACTTGACCCTGCAATCCCATTACTAGGAATCTACCCAGAAGGAAAAAAAATCCTTTTATCATAAGGACATTTGCGGCTCGGCGCCTATGGCTCAAGTGGCTAAGGCACCAACCACATACACCTAAGGTGGCGGGTTCGAATCCAGCCCGGGCCTGCCAAACAACAATGATGACTGCAACCAAAAAATAGCCAGGTGTTGTGGCAGGCGCCTGTGGTCCCAGCTACTTGGGAGGCAGAGGCAGGAGACTCACTTGAGCCCAGGAGTTGGAGGTTGCTGTGAGCTGTGATGCCATGGCACTCTACCCAGGGGGACAGCTTGAGGCTCTGTCTCAAAAAAAATAAAAAAATAAGGACATTTGCATTAGACTGTTTATCACAGCTCAATTTACAATTGCCAAAATGTGGAAACAACCCAAAAGTCCACCAGCCCAGGAATGGATTAACAAGCTGTGGTATATGTATACCATGGAATACTATTCAGCCATTAAAAAGATGGAGACTTTACATCTTTTTTTTTTTGAGACAGAGCCTCAAGCTGTCCCCCTGGGCAGAGTGCCGTGGCATTACAGCTCACAGCAACCTCCAACTCCTGGGCTCAAGCGAGTCTCCTGCCTCCGCCTCCCAAGTAGCTGGGACCACAGGCGCCCGCCACAACGCCCGGCTATTTTTTGGTTGCAGCCGTCATTGTTGTTTGGCGGGTCCGGGCTGGGGATTCGAACCCGCCACCTTAGGTGTACGTGGCTGGCGCCTTAGCCGGTTGAGCTATAGGCGCCGAGCCGAGACTTTACATCTTTTGTATTAGCCTGGATGGAAGTGGAACACATTCTCCATTCGTATCCTAAGAATGGAGAAGCAAGAATCCAATGTACTCAATTCTAACATGAAGCCAGTAGACAATCTAATATACACCCATATGAGATAAAAACTCAAATCAATTCAACGTGGGAGGGCAGGGGAATGAGGGAGTGGAGAGAGGGGAGGAGAGAAAGGACACACAGTGGGGTGTACTGCATACCTCCCGGGGGCAGGATACAATTATAAGAGGGACTTTACCTAACAAATGCAAACATTGTAACCTAATTACATTGTAACCTAATACCTTCAATTAATTAACCTGAAACAATAAAAAAAAAAGAAGAACAAGGGAGGGCATGGTGGCTCATAAGCCTAGCATTCTGGGAGGCCAAGGCAGGAGGACTGCTTGTGGGCAGGAGTTCAGAAACAGCCTGCGCAAGAACTGGTCTGTTTTCTACAAAAACTAGAAAAATTAGCCAGGTGTGGTGGTGGACCCCTCTAGTCCCAGCTACTTAGGAGACTGAGGCAGGAGGGTCACCTGAGCCCAGGAGTTTGAGGCTGCAGTGAGCTATGATGGTACCACTGCAATCCAGCTTGGATGACAAAGTGGGACCCTGTCTCTAAAAAAAAAAAAAAGAGGGGAGACTGAGAGAGACACTCCTGTACCTTAACAAACTCTGAAGGGAGGAATGACAGTCCCTGCAAAGAATGCCAGGGTTCCGATGCTCCAGACAATAACATACCCAGCCCATTCCCCGAAGTTCTTTTTTGTTTGTTTGTTTTTTCAGTTTTTGGCTAGGCTAGGCTTGAACCACTACTCCCAGTATATGGGGCTGGCGCCCTACCCCTTGAGCCACAGGCGCCGCCCACCATTCCTCGAAGTTCTTAAATGATTTTCCAGAACAGTAAATGAAGAGAGTGGTTCCATTTCCATTCACCACTGGTTTCATTTTCAGGAAATCTCTCCCCTCCCCATTGCTATTTGTGAATGGATGTGTGTATGTGATTGCACAACTATGCAGCAAAAACCCTCTTTTTAAAGTTCGTTTTGAAATAACTAGAAGCGGTTACTCAATGTGATATCTGTTTATCTGTTACTTCTAGGGAACAAATCTGATCTCTGGGAAAAGCGGCACGTCCTGTTTGAGGATGCCTGCACTCTGGCTGAGAAATATGGCCTCCTTGCTGTTTTGGAGACATCTGCCAAGGAGTCCAAGAACATAGATGAAGTCTTCGTGCTCATGGCCAGGGAGCTGATCGCCCGCAACAGCCTGCACCTGTTCAGCGAGGGCACCCTGGGCAGCCTCCCCCTGGACTCCAGCCCAGTTCTGGTGGCCCAGAGTCCAAGTGAGAAGACCCACTGCTCCTGCTAAACATGCTCACCCGGCCGGCTGGCTCACCATGGAGGCCAAATAGCCTCCTGTCTCCGGAGTTGTGCTTTAGACCCAAATGTGGTCTCCCTTCTGTGTCCCAAATCCTTCCAGCCTGGATATGTGGCACCTTCACCTTGGTTCATACCACAAACCATAGTTACTGACTCTGTGAAAGGGGACATCATCGTTTCCCTTGATTCTAGATGAAACCAAGACTGCAGACGGGGCATGGGAGGACCACGTTTGCTCTTCTCCCCTTGCCCCTTCTGTCTCCCCAACACTTTCACTGCTTTCTACTGGATTTTGCTGCTTCTTTGATGGGGGTAGTGACGGAAAGAAGGGAGGAGGAATATTGAGAGCTGGGAGAATGTCTGGAACATTCTCGAGCAGTTCGAAAAAAGCGCAGGCAGGGAGGATGGGACAAAGCCTGCGATGAGAAGTCCACATGTTTTCACTTTGTTCCCAACCTTCACGCCTGAGATCTTCACTTTGGGGAGCAAAGCTTTTGGACATAAACATTAGAACTGCTATCTTGCCAAATGGTCAGGAACCCTCTGGTGAAGATGGAATGAGGCTGATTAGGTCACCCTCCTGGGAATATGAGAGGTGCCTACAATCTCTTTTTCTTTTCCTTCCTCCCTTCTTTCTTTCTTCCTTTCTTTCCTTCTTGTTGGAGGTAGGTGGGAAAACAGGCTCTTGCTCTCTCACCCAGTCAGTGTTGTAATTGTAGCTCACTGTAAGACCTTGAATTCCTGGGCTTAAGTGATCCTTCTGCCTCAGCCTCTGAGTAGCTGGGACTACAGTCACCTGCCACCACAACTGGCTAATTGGTTAATTTTTCATAGAGCGTCTTGCCTTGGCCTCCCAAGTGCTATGATTACAGGTATGAGCACCATGCCCAGCCTACAATTTCTTCTAAAAAAAAAAAGGCTCTGTCTGGTTTCAAACCTGTGAGCTCTGGCAATCCACTCACCTCGGCCTCCCTGAGTGCTATGATTACAGGTGTGAGCACCATGCCCAGCCTACAATTTCTTCTAAAACACCAAATTGCTAGATCAGAAATCATTTCTGAAGCTACTTGGAAGGCTGAGGCAAGAGAATCACTTAAGCCCAAGAGTTTGAGGTTGCTGTGAGCTGTGATGCTACAGCATTCTACCAAGGGTAACAAAATGAGACTCTGTCTCAAAAAAAAAAAAGTTGTGCAGGGCTCATCAGGAATGAACAATGCCTTGGGTTGCCCACTCCAGTGGAGAAGAGGCACCAACTACATTCTGCTGCTCCTCTCCCAACACCCTCAGCCATCCGTGTCCTCTTTCCTGTTCCACTCTCAGCTTTCCAGGCTGGCACCAGGGCACAACGTGGCCCCAGGTACAGCCCAGCTGATTCCAGAGCGGGGAAGCTGGTTTCTGAGGCAGGTTCCCTCCCTTTGCCCTTCCCCCCTGCCCTATGTTAGTCCTCCCCTCCTCTTGAGTTGTCCTCCTCCTCCTTAGACATTTCTTGGTCCCCAAGGAGTCCTTAAATTCTGCTCTTCATGACCCATCTGCAAACTAAGTCAACCACAGAGGACCAGGGAAAGCTAGAGAGCCAGGGCTGGTGTCCCTCACTCTCCCCTATTGCAGGAAGCACTCTTCATCCTTTCCAGTCTCCAAGAAACTCCTGGTCTGGCCACAGTCTTCATTCCCTGTTGGTTAGTCTATTCCTGAGGAAAAAGGCCGAACAGTTTGTTCAGTGTGTGTCTCAATCCCAGGATGTGGGCCAGGACCAGGCACTGGCAGACGATGGTCCTGCCAGGCTCCCCTGTGGGGCCAGCTCTCCCTAGTCGTGGGAACAGCCCTCCCAAGAGCAGGCCTCCCTCCTTCCTGCTTTCCTCCACCCCCAGGAGGAGAGCTGAAGTCAGAGATCAAAGACAGCTGGAAGTACAAGTGTCCCCTGAGGCATTAAGCTTTTTTTTTTTTTTTTGAGACAATCTCACTCTGTTGTCCCAGGGTACAGTGCCATGGTGTCATCATAGCTCAAGGCAACCTCAAACTCATGGGCTCAAGCAATCCTCCTGCCTCAGGTACCTGAGTAACTGGAACCACAGGTATCTGCCACCACCCTGGGGAATTTTTCTATTTTCCTGATCCCAGGATGAGCCACTGTGCCCTGCCAGGCATTTATATTTTATTTATTTATTTATTTAGAGACAGAGCCTCAAGCTGTCGCCCTGGGTAGAGTGCCGTGGCATCACAACTCACAGCAACCTCCAACTTCCAGGCTCCAGTGATTCTCCTGCCTCCGCCTCCTAAGTAGCTGGGATTATAGGTGCCCACCCCAGCGCCTGGCTATTTTTTTGGTTGCAGCTGTCATCGTTGTTTAGCAGGCCCAGACTGGATTTGAACCTGCCAGCTCTGGTGTATGTGGCTGGTGCCTTAGCCGCTTGAGCCATAGGCACTGAGCCTTTATTTACTTGTTTTTGAGACAGAGTCTCACTATGTCTCCCTTGGTAGTGTGCCATCGCGTCACAGTTTACAGCAACCTCAGACTCTTGGACTTAAGCAATTCTCTTGCCTCAGCCTCCCAAGTAGCTGGGACTACAGGCACCTGCCACAACACCTGGCTATTATTATTATTTTTTTTTGTAGTTGTTGTTTGGCAGGCTCTGGCTGGGTTCAAACCTGCCAGCCCCAGTGTATGTTGTGACCACTGAGCTATGGGCCAGCTGCAGAGCTGGTATTTTTTTTTTTAACCTTTTTTTTTTTTTTTTGGTAGAGATAGCGTCTCACTTTATCGCCCTCAATAGAGTGCCCCGGTGTCACACAGCTCACAGGAACCTCCAACTCCTGGGCCTAGGTGATTCTCCTGCCCCAGCCTTCTGGGCAGGTGCTGGGAGCTAATGTGTGCCCGCCACAAGGCTCAGCTATTTTCATGTTGCAGTTTGGCTGGGGCCGGTCCAAACCCACCACCCTTGGCACTTGGGGCCGGCATCCTACCCACTGAGCCACAGGAGCTGCCTGATGTTTACATTTTAATGGGAATCAAAGACACAAACATTGGCTCGGCGCCTATA